ATATATATATATATTCCGAAATCATCTATTGTTAGTTTTAAAGATATGGCAATAAAGGAGTCTAAATTAGCAAACTTGTAGAAGCCATAACTGATAAAACAGCTTATTGAAAAAAGGTGGCAGTAATGCACTCTATGTGTGCACAAGTACGTAAGAAAATACACAGACGTATAAAATTGCACGCACACGCTCACACACACACATCCTTCCACGCACCTCTATGCTCACGCATATACATATAGACAACAGGAGGAGTTAGAGACAAGTTAGAATTTGATTTGTACTTTGATCAGCCCTAACCTGTGCATAAAATAATGGAAAGAGGCTGCATTTCTGCAGGGCAGAATGGTCTAGACTGGGACTCGCAAGCATGAATGTTTTGGTTTGGAGTTTGGGCTGTTTCCGTCCCGGTAAGAGCCCGTCTGGTCATTGCCATGTACTCTTTTTTTTTTTTTTTTCCCCACGCAAAAGTAAGCTTCCCACAACTAAAACGTATTTAAAAATCAGTGCTCGTGGTGGGAAGAGTCAGTAAATGACCACCAACAGCAGGAAAAGGTCTGTATCTGAGGCAGCTCCAGTCCCCTCTTAGTGGTGTGTGACAGCAATCGTCCACGTGAACTACACTTTCATCGACTCCAGGTAAGCTGAGTATTTCGGGTTACGGAATACGTCCCCCAAGTAGCAGGCTGAAATGTTACTGGCCAACATCGTTTGAGCGATCTGTCTTTGCTGAAAGGAAATCCCGTCCCCTAGGAACCGAGTGAAATGATCAAGTACATGCTGTTTCTAAGTTGTCTCCTAAACCTCCCAGATATGAGGTCTGATCAGCGTGCTCTGTGGTTAGAGGTTAAAAAGCAGATTATAAAATACCTAGATTCAGATTTTTTTTTTTTGTCCTGATTTGGCCTAAAATGGAGTGTATTAAACAAATTCTGGTCTGCAAAAGACCAGAATCAGTTAAAGCTATGAAACAATGTGCACTACGTGTCAATATTCTATTTCACTTACAAGAAAACACTAAGTCAGCTACCACAAATTAAGATATTTTCCTGATGTGACTTTTTTTTGTTTTGTTAAAAAATATGTGGAGTAAATGTGTTTTTCTTTTTTTTTTTTAATTCAAAGTTTCAAACAACAAGATTCTTTTCTTTTCTTGAAAATACGTAGGAATCCAAACTAGTGTGTTTAGAGTCGGTTGACTGTGCAATCTCTTAGTGGCAACTGAACAGCTACAAAAAACTTTCTTTTTTTTTCTTTTTTTTTTGAAAAATCTCCCCTTTTTTCCTGGTTTAAGAAGATAATAGTGTATTATCGCTCTGTAGCCATTAGATGGCAGATAAAAAGCCCCCTTTTAATATGTGGGTTTGATTTTTTCTTTTTTTTTTTTTTCCTTTTCTGTTTTTCTTTTTTTTTAAAGCCCACACCAAAGAGGAGGGCACAAGGCAAAGCTGTATGAGTTATTCCAGAAATTGTGGAAATCACTTAGGGCAATAATAAAAACACTTCAGGGTACAAAAAAGCTTGACTACACATTTCAGTTTTCTTCCTCGAAAACACAAACATAAATTGGGCTTAACGCTCCTTTTTGTTTTCTATATGCACCTTGGCCTATGGCGTTTTTGCCCTGTGGCCCGCAGGGCGGTTAAGTGCGCAACACAATAAAACCAGTAGAGGTCCAGTTTCACTTCCCAGCTCTCCAGAGTTGGGCGAGTTTAATCTCAAAACTCCCACTCGACGGCCTCTTCCCGACTCGCGGCCTTCTCCAAGCGGTGGATGATGTTGTTCAAGTTCGCCGCTTTCTTTTTCCTCAGGGAGCTGTCTCGCGTGTTCCTGGAGCTCGCCGCCTCCGAGAAGCCGAACAAGCTCTGGAGAGAGTTGGCTTTCTGCGAGCCTGCGGCCGGCGTCGAGCTCGTACTTGGCACACTGGAGATTTTCTCTGAACTTTCTTTTGACTTGTAGGAGCTCTCCCCTGTAAGGACTGAGGTGGAGGCAGCTGAGGTAGAGGCATCCCCTTCCGTGGCAGAGTTTGGCAGTGTCTCCAGAGCTTCTCCCGGGCGCTGCGATGCCGGCGGAGAGCTCTGGCGCGGTGCTCTGAGCCTGCCCTCGTCGTCGGTGTCCTCCAGGCTCTCCGCCTGGATCGGCTCCGCTTTCTCCGAAGACCTGGCGCCTTGCAGTGCCTCTTCCCCCGCTTCGAAAGCCGACTCCGCGGGCCCTCCCTGAGACTTTGTGGTTGCATTGTTGTACTCATCCGCCTCCGGGCCACTCGGCTTTCCTTCAGGCGGGCCTTCTGCGTCCACGCCGTCGCAGCTGTCTCCCTCGGAGCTGTGAGCGGCCCTGCTGCTTCGGGCGGAAGGAGAGTCGCTCGACCCAGCCTGGCTCTGGCTCCCGGCTTGGATCTCCTCGATGAACAGCTCCCGGCGGATGCGAGACCTAGGAGACAGGGGAAAGGGACGGTGAGTGCCGGGGGTCACTCAGAGCCACCCTGCTCTACCAGATACGCCATTCAAAACGCCCTTTTGTAAGACGCCATTTTGTCTCGGCTACAGGGCAGCCGCACCAAGCTGGGTCAGGGGCCACGCTCACACCCTCCAAACCAAAGGACTGGCTGAAAAGGCCTTTGGAAAAACATGAAATACTGTCAAGACACTCTTAACTTCATTTTCCCTGGCCACAGGCCCGCTGCGAAGCCTGCTAGAGGGGACGCTGGCTGCAAACCCAGCCCACCTCAGGGCTCCTCGGTGGCACAGCGCGAGGGCTGGGAATCTCAGCAGTGGAGCCATTTCTAGCAACTTTTGCACTGCTTAGCTCTGAGACTGAGCCCTCTGACGCCAACCAGGATTCTGCGTATGTATTGTAAATCTGTCTGCCCCTTCTAGTAACCCCGGCAGGCATTATGGAATAAAGCAAAACCACAAACTTCATGCAGATAATCAATTTGTACTAAAACGATTGGTGAAAACCAGTGACAGATCATCTTTTGCAACTTTAAATTAACTAATATTCATAATTGTACACTCTGTTTTTCCATCACTGGACGTGCTTTAAGGGACAGAGATGAAAGGCTCTGCTGTCTCCCATTCCCACTAAAATTCTGACAGCAGGAAGGTGAAACGTTGCAATGCCCCCGACCAGAAAAGGGATGATTTAAAAAATACGAACAGAAACCAGCTGCTAAACAGGAAACAATTCAGATTTCTACTAGAAATGAGCCACAATTTGCCTAACCAGAAAACAAGTAAGGAAGAAAATCTGGACAACCCCCTTGGTGCTTTCCTAGACACCAAGAGGAAACAGATGAAACGAAGCCCGCTGTTCTGAAGGCATTCTGGGGAAGCACAGCCTTTTGACAGGTTGTCTGTCTCTGAGCTAGTCTGACTTCTGCCTCATTTTTTATTTAAAAAAATCGATTTCAGAACATGAATAGTGACAAGGCGAGCAGTACATTTCAAGGGAATCAACGCACTCCATGTGTGGTTAAAATTGCCTGGTGTGACACCTTGTGCCTCCTGTTCCTTGAAGCGTGCAGTAATACCCTAAACACACCACCTCTGCCCTTTAGCTTGGTCCTTCCTCCCTCTTCCTTCCCTATTTAGGAGCTCCCAATATCCTCACAAGTACAGAAAACTTTATGGAAACACCTTAGGGTCTGGGTCAGCTCTCTCCCTGTACTGGCCTGTCAGCAGGAGAGGTGATGACCACTGGCCAACGGCATCTTGGCTTGTATCAAAAACAGCGTGGCCAGCAGGTCCAGGGATGTGATTCTCCCCCTGTACTCGGCACTGGTGAGGCCGCACCTCGAGTGCTGTGTTCAGTTTTGGGCCCCTCACTACAAGAAAGACATTGAGGTCCTGGAGCGTGTCCAGAGAAGGGCCACAAAACTGGTGAAGTGTCTGGAGAATATGTCGGATGAGGAGCGACTGAGGGAACTGGGCTTGTTTAGCCTGGAGAAGAGGAGGCTGAGAGGAGACCTGATCACTGCCTACAACTCCCTGAAAGGAGGTTGTGGAGAAGTGAATGCTGGTCTCTTCTCTCTAATGACGGATGATCGGACGAGGGGGAATGGTCTCAAGCTGCGCCAGGGGAGGTTTAGATTGGATGTAAGGAAGAAGTTCTTCACCGAAAGGGTTATCACGCACTGGAACAGGCTGCGCAGGGAGGTGGTGGAGTCACCATCCCTGGATGTGTTTAAGAGACGGGTGGATGAGGGGCTGAGAGATATGGTTTAGTGGTAGACAGATACGGTTGGACTGGATGATCTCTAAGGTCTTTTCCACCCTAGTGATTCTATGATTCTATGGTCAGGTCCTGATTTGCAACCAAGCTGGAGCCTCAGTAACTTTTGGTCAGGGATGAGACACAGACACACAGAGAGTTTAGCAAAACTTTCTCTTTCAGAGTGAAGGTAAGACTTGGTTTCAATCAGGGAGAACTCCTAAGGGTCTTGCAAATCACAAATGAAATGCTGCCCCAACGCTGACGGCTGTAAGAATTTTTATTTTTTTCCTGAATGTGCTATGGAAGACAGCATGCTGGAAAAAAACCCAGGATAAAAGCAGAACAGCATCTGAATACTGCTTTTGAAGCTAATGATATTATTGACTTACTTGAAATGCAACAGCATTTCAGCAGTATTTGCTGACTGCACACTTCTGAAGGATTTAGGAGTCTGTAATTTTCCCTAGGAGACTACTATTCACCTCACATAAGACTACAGGTGCTAACATTAATTTTCTATTGCCATTAATTGCAGGCATCCTGCAACCTCGATTATCGGGCTCTCTTTATGCCTATGGTCTCCCTGCATGGGAGCACGCTGCTTCTGTAACGTTCCCCAAGTCAGGAGAGGAAACGGGTAAGAGCTTTGGGCCTTCATGCCATTTAAAATCACAGAATCATGGAATGGTTTGGGTTGGAAGGGACCTTAAAGACCATCCAGTCCCACCCCCTGCCATGGGCAGGGACACCTTCCACCAGACCAGGTTGCTCCAAGCCTCATCCAGCCTGGCCATGGACACTTCCAGGGATGGGGCATCCACAGCTTCTCTGGGCAACAAGATACTGGATGATAACAGGCTCACCGAGTATCTGATCACAGCCCTACAGAACACAGGTTCAATGTCTGTGGAAATCATTGGAATTCACACCCAATATATTGCTTCTAGTCTGGCTCCTGATTAACAGGGTAATTAAATCCCTACTGTAAAGAAAAACTAGTGACAGCAGCTAGGAAATTCCAGAGGGCATTCCTCTTCGTGGAAGGTGTTGGCCTCGACATCAACACATCCTGCTGGCATTCATCAGTGTAACTCAAAACATCAGAGATCTCCTGGGGTCTACGTTGAAGTTCCCTGTACCAGCCTTCACACAGCTCCAGAACTCATCTGAACAAGCTCAACGCTACAGTTCATTGAAAATTATGCTCAGGGTAAGAGCAACTTAGAATGCAAGTGCACTAGATTACAATTCAAGAAAGTTTGATTTAATTCCTGATGCTTCTTACAGGTCTTTTCCCACCTTAGTAATTCTGTGAAAGTATCATCTCTGTGACCTGACCGAGTTTCTGTGCCGCTTTCCACAGGTGAAGTGGGACAGAAATCCCTACCTCCTACCCTTCTGTACAGTTCTTAAGATGACAGAGCCTCAAATGCTGATGGGTCCTGTGCTACACTAATGCAAAGCAAGGCCTATTCTTATTTTTATGTTCTGAGAGCTGTGTGATTGGTATGGGTGCAAAGCCATAGACTTGGAGAAATCTGCAGACATGTCAAAATCCTTTATACCTATTTATAGTCCGAAGCGAATTATTCTTTTGCCTGCTGAGGACTTCTTTGAAGTTTCTTTTGCTGTGGAAAACAAATGCTCGTGCTGACTTCCCATTTGGTGGATATAAAGGTAGGCTCTGCTGTAGCAATCACCTTTGGAAAGTGAGGCTTGGGCTGAATCCCAAAGAAAAAGCATCATTGCAATGGGATTCCTAAGAGACAGGAAGACAAAGTTGTCCAAAACCATGCCCTGCCTCAGCTGAAGTTACTTCGAAGAAAAATGTATATAGTCTGAGGTGTGGAGCTGCTTCTGTATGAAGTCTCTTCAGTTTGGAATAGAAATGGCTGAGGGAGAGTATAAAAGAGATAAATAAAGTTAAGTGTGGCCTGGAGTAGATGAAGAGGGGAAAGACTACCCACTTCCTGTAATATATGAGCTGCAGGACAGTCAGATTCTGTTCCCCTGGCAGAACATGTAACTCGTACCTCTTCTGCAACATCCTACGAATGATTTAAGAGTAGTTCGTGCAAGAAAGCTAAGAAAGCTACTGTACAGAGGAAAAGAACAGGCACGTGTCTTGATTTTTCAGTGGAGGCCACCGCTCAGAGCACGCCGGGCTGTAAAGAGATGCTTCGAGCCTGTAGAAGCCCTGGAGACTCAGCAGCACATCTGGGAGCAGGTCCAGATCACTCACAGCTGCGAGGCTAGTGCTACCCACCAGCCTACAGCACCCTGTTTATACACTGTTTATTTTGTATACAACTGTCAGCGCCTAGTCTGCGTTCATGTACAGCTTGGTGTGGCTAAGCACGCTGATCAATCATGACTTGTCACGCTTTCTCGCAGCACGCCTAAACAGGAGATCTCATGATAATGAGGGAGATGACACATGCCACCAGTGCTCCCGCGCTCGTCTGCGTAAGTGAGAACAGCACATTTTGCTGTCAGGCCGAAGGGAACATATTTTCATAGGCATTCCTCCAACTTGCGTATCATTGCCGAGAAGTGGGAATGGGAAGAGGCGCCTGCATTTGGAGAACTCTGAGCAGCGAAAGAGGCTGCATCGGTAGTGAATTCAAGTCAGTGAAATTCAGTGTAAACACGATTACATGTTGGCTGTAATTTTCAAATTTTATATTGCTTACTATAAACATTATTTTGCTATTGTGCATAATATTTCTGAGATACCTCAATAAACTGTGCTGCTTCTGCTTCAGCAACTTCCCTGTTAAAAGCTGAGAAGGGCCAAAGTGGAAAATACCCTTTAAATGCTGGCAGTTCTAAAAACAAACAAGTTTAGCAATCTGGACTAATTAGGAACATCACTGGCTCCGAGTGAAGGGGGAGAATGGTATTAAATCTGTTATCTTAACTCTACCTGTTCAGTATTCATTAGCACAAATTTCTTGGAGAAAAGGCTGCTGTGCTAATTAAGATTCCCAATCCCAAGCACATCTGATAATACACTTACTCAAATCCTTATAATTCTTGCCATTCCAGCGTTGGTTTTTTTTATCGATGTCTTTATCATAGAATCACAGAACGGTTTGGGCTGGAAGGGACCTTAAAGACCATCCAGATCCAACCCCCCTGCCATGGGCAGGGACACTTTCCACTAGACCAGGTTGCTCCAAGCCTCGTCCAGTCTGACCTTGAAGATGGCCAAAACCTACTTCCATGTTCCAAATGTGGAGAAGGTTCATTCTAATATGAGAAAGGAACTAAAAGGACCAACATCTTATTTTGTTTCAGCAGAGCTCAGTGATTTAATCATAACAACGAAACAAGTCTGTGGCCACGTCTGACTTCAGGGTTATCAGTTCTCCATCCTTCATGACTGTGCAGAGCTTCCCAGAAACACAGCACACAATGTGCCTATTTTTAGAGCTCAGTGACTCAAGACCTAAAAGAAAACCCTCTTTTGCTCTTATGTGGGAAAAGTACCCGCTGAAAGCAGTGCAATCCTGATGCCATCCAGCAGAGGACACTTCCCAGCACCCCCCAAGTGACCCAGGCATAAGGCACACCGCACAGGCCCGTACGTGCGGGTGTACGTCTGCCCGAGCCTGCGCACGCAAGTGAGAAAGCCCAGTCTTGCTCACTGCAACGGGATTTATAAATATTCATTAGTGGACATCTCTAAATCAACGCCCACTCCAAAAGCGAGACTTTCTGTTTAAAAGCACTACTTACATCAATATGTGAATGCTGCTGTTCCTCGGGGATGACTTAGAATTAGTCTGGAGCATTAGCATTACTGTTAGTTAGAACCTCCCTGCTGTCGAAACTGTTCATTCTGTACCGTCGCTCAACGCGAGCAGAAGCAGACGCCGTCTGCCCAAGCAGAGCAGCACCCTGCCAAAGCAAAGAAACCCTTTATGCGTCGGGCTCCCGGGAGATCTCCTACCTGTAATTGTGGAACCAGTTGATCACGGTGCTGGTTTTCAAGTTGAGCTGTGTAGCGAGTTCCTCAATGGTTTTTGGTGATGGGTATGGCTTTTGCTGGTAGGCTCGTTTCAGAGCTTCCTTCTCCTCCGGTGCCAGCACCACCCGGGGCTTCTTCAGCTGATGCTGTGGCTGCGGGCTGGCTCCCTGGCTGTAGTCTATTCCAGCAGAGGAGGACTCACAGGACTGACTGTCGCTAACCGAGCTGTGTCGCCGTTTCATGTAGGCTGCAAGAGAAGCGCATCGGATCAGCCCCAGCTGAATACAAATGTGAAATCAATGAGAATACGAGCTGTGGAACCCACGCGAAGATGACAGGCTGCAGACGCACGCACGGGCTATTCGGAGAGAAGAGAAAGGCAGGGACAGGAAAGCAAATGCAGGGAGGATGCAAGAGGCAGAAAAAGAAGAAAAGGGAAAGAAAAGAGGGTAAAACGCCTGGAAACGTGCCACAGCTCTCTGCTTTTTCAAAGAACACGGGACGTGAGGAACAGGGTTCAGTTAACACGGCTTATGTCTAATTCACTCCTTCGAGAGCGGCCAACTCCCAGGGAAGCACCCGATGAGTTGCACTTCACTTCAACTCAAACGGTTTTGGTTGTACGCTCAGGTCTCTCTGACACTTCAGGTCTCAACGATTCGCCTGTGGAAGCTGAAGACAGCAGCAGCCACGTCGCCGACACACGATGGCGCCCGGAGCCCAGAGATCCCAGTGATGGGCTCGATAACCCGTCAGGCATCTGCTGCTTTTTCCTACAGACCTTGGCTACAGCGGTGACAGGTTATGAAAGAAAACAGCCCACAGCAGCCTCCTCCCCTGTGTAAGGCTCTTTCAAAAAAATGCATCTACTTTTAAGAAAGCTCTTGCTGCACGGATGGAGCCCAGCGATGGCAGAAGCCTGTGAGACCGTCACTGACTCTCCTTCCTGACAGGGACTGAATTATCCTGGCAAATTCTGCAAGGAGAGTCCCAGCAAACGCTGTCACCGACTTGATTGATTTGCACCGGGCTAAGAGAGGTGGGATTTACTGCACCTGGCAGCATCATGCACAAGCACTGCTAATGAGGGGGCTGAAAATGGCAAATATAGATGAATCTTGTCAATAAAATATTTAATGGCCTGTTAAATACCTTCTAGATATTTAAGAGTTTAGGTATTCAAGAGCTGCAATTTGATAACCTTGACTATTACGTTCCAGATTACACCAGCCTGACATCCATCTAGCAGGCACTAAATCTCCAGCAGCCAGGAGCTCTGATCGGAGCCAGGGACCAACGTGGGGCACGTCACACCCGTCAGCGACCAAATTCTTCAAAAACTAGATTTCTCTTTCCCCACGGCTCTGCCTTTAGGCCGGGGGTGCGCAAAGAAGAAAGATTCAATGCCATCAAACCAGCTGCGATGCCGAAAGCCCCTCTCACACGAGGCAGCCTCTCCTGGCAGAGCTCTGCAGGGCTGGCTGGGTTTTCCGTCTCCAGTGGGTCTCAGCATCCTGTCCTCTACACGGTGGCACATCCAGTGGGGCCTTTCTACACGGTGTCTTGCTATCGTCCAAGCGAATTCTGAACACACTCCGTAACCTTTGGGGGTATCTGCGTGGCCCTCATTTTGTTTTTCCTGAATATGACAGATTACCTGTGGATTGCCTACTGCGCAAGATCGCTGATACGGAACAGAACGTGAGTCGCTCATGATCCATCACTCTGCCATGCTACAGTCCTGCATGCTTTTGAAATAACTATAAAAAGAAAAGTTGTGGAGTTCTTCCTTTTTCTTTTTTTAATAAACTACTTCTAAAAACTCACCTATTTAAACCGTTCCAACTGGTTGTAGAACTGCAGTGTGACCACAGGTAAATGGATTATTTCAAGGTGACCTATTGGCCTTATTTTTGCAGCCTTCAAGGAATGGTTACAACCTTCAACCATGGAATTAATCATTCCAGCACCATAATCCCACATTTATGAAGGTCTTTAATCTCGAAGACTCTGAGGTGTTATTTCAAACTTGCACTGACACGCGGACTGTAACCAAGGTTCCCTTGTCTCCCCTGACAGCGCAACCAAGAGGGCCAAAAGACACTCAGCCATGTGCAGCAGCTTAAAGGAGGACAAAACAGAACCTCACACTGAAGATGTAAAAGGTGTTCAGGCTATCTCTATCTGGAGTTTCTGGAATTCGGTCAGGCGACTGAGTTAACATGAGGCACCCGGCGTCAGGATGCTCTGAACCTCTGCTTTCTCTGCTCTCCGAAGGATGGCATTTCTGGCAGGTCAGGGCTCCCATGTTTAGACTCCTAGGGACAGCACAGAGCTCTGACAGCTTGGGAAAATTTTCGTGCCCTACGCCTACCTCTGCTTTTGTAACCTCACACCGCGACCACAAAAGTTGCAACAGCTTATTTGGGTCTCTCACATGAATGGAACAAATAATATAAACGGACATATTTACTTAACATAAAGAGGCTGTCCCACTGTTCTGTCACAACCAATTGTTTTTCTGGAGAATAACGTATTATCAGAACAAATTTCCACTGGGCCAAAGGCACAATCCTGGCACTGTGCCACGTGCTGAACTAGCGCCTAAGCTTTAGGCTTTAATGGTGCTCTCTGGAAACTTTTGATGACGTTTATAAAAGTTTTTCCTTTTTAATTCTTATTTTAAACATATGTGCTGCATGTAGACAACATGAGGAGATCACTCAGCACATCTGCAGTGACAGCAAGGCTCAGACTGGAGTCCAAGTCACGAACACACGTGATTTTTGGAGAAGTCTGATTTTTGTCTGTGATTAGTCTCCCCTTCTCCGGAGACCTGTGAAAAAAAAAAAACCCAACCCCAAATGTAATTTGGGCAAGGGTCTAGATCTGGGTCTGAGGCTGACTTGTCAAGGCTCTATCCCCTGCGTTTTACTACCTTTTTTTGCCCAAGCTACTGCCAACGCAGCACCGCCGCGTCCCTCTGGGAAGCCTCCCCAGCACGTGCTCGGCGACAGACGCAGCAGACACGACCGCAGAACCAGCGGCTGCCCGCCGAGGTAAACCAGAGCCCCTCTTAATATCATTTTTATCTTCTGCAGTATTGAACAAGATTATTAAAAAGCGAAATAATGGGGAAATAAAGGGAATTAAATTTTCTCCTGACAGCAGGCTTCAGCACTGTTCAGTGAGGAGTGTGACGTTACCCGCAGCGCACACACCGGGAGGTTATAAGGAAGAGGAATGAACTCTTCCAAGGCAGGAAAGGTGGTACGGAGCGTCTCAGCCCAGTGAGCGTGAACCCCCGGCTTCCTCCAAAGCAGTTCGTTATTGTACCTTGCAAATTTTCAGAACCTCTTCAAATGGACATTTATAGCACAAAACTCAGACTGGCAGAACAGAAGGGAAAGATATATGCAGCTCACCTTTATCATAATTATTAATTTAGTCCCTTAACAAAACGTGGCAGAGAAATAATTGATAATAATGTTCCACTGGTAGCAGATACAGTTGCATTGTTCTTTAACTGACATTAGCTGAAGGGAAAGTTAAATTCTTAATGTGGCTCTAGAGCAATTTAAAAGGTTAAATCACAGGATCCTCACCTGCATGAAAGGATTTCGCAGAAAATAGAGGGTTGAGCTCACGTCAGAGTGCTCTGCTGTGAGGACAGCACGTGCACAGTTCAGGAGCTCTGTGCAGAGTCTCAAATGATTTACAGCCTTATCTCTATTCAGGTGCCATCTACAGAGCATATGTATTGCACAGTATTTGATAAGAATCCAGTTTAGAAAATAGTTTTGAGAGGATATTGTCAGTACTACTTTTAAATTATTTTTATTTTATTTTCCTGCATTATGGGCAATATTCTCTTTGAGGCTATAAAAATCCAGCTAGTTGACAATTTTATTTCTGCCGTATTTCTCCCACAGCAAAAACCATCATGGCTCCCTTTGGTTTACAGTTGTAAGTGGGAAACCCAAGTGGATTTTACTCCCCGTGGAAGATCATACACAATTTGCGATAAGATACCGCACTGCATTATATTATACTGTTACTATGACAAGGATTTGAATTTCTTCTTAAAAGCGTGCAAGCCTAGAATTTTCCCAGAAGCTCCCTCACTGCAATTTTTAATCTAATCACCGAGTTCTTGATCAAATGTGTTAATGCTTTCAGGACATCAGTCAACGGCAGCGCTTTCCGTGCGCACGATTAATGCTGTCTGTACTAATATCATTAAGGGATAGCTCGAGAGATGTACATGTCATTAATTAGTTAAGGGCTGATAATGGCAGCCTAAGAGTTGCTCTTGTAAAATCACACAAACATACTAAAAATAGGGCTCTGAAAACTGCTGGTTTTCAGTAATAAATCTAAAATCTAGAGAGTAGGATAAATCTTCAGGGTATATTCCCTACTAAGATACCCAATAACAACCTACATCTCTCACTGGTACATACCGAACTGTTTTACATGAGCATGTATGAGAACAATAACCTTCCCCCATCCCTATAAAGGGTACAAATGTGATGATCTTCAGATACCCTCCTATAAAGACGGCATTTTTCTTTCCTCCTAGTGACCGTCAGCGCAGGCCTGGCAAGAGGCTCTCTCAGGAATCAATGCACAGCTCTTCCAGCCCAACATCTGTGACCAGCTGAAGCACTATTAACTAATAACCCAAAGCCAGCTCCCAAACTCACATTTCTCATTTGGTAAGGCAAGTTATCAGTGATACACCAGGGCCTCAGTAATTAATCTATAGGAGAATATAGCAACGATTTCATGACAGCTGGTGAATATTCAGGGTTTGGGTTTTTTTTTTTTTGGAGATCTATCTGCCGGAGTCAGCACCAAATAAAGCTACGAAAAAGCTGTCATAAAGTCCTTTTGCATAACCTTCATAATACTGGATCAATGCTGCTTCTATACTATTTATGGAGAATTATCAAAGGCTCGGTCATCTCTGAAATAACGGAAAACATGAGTCAGCAGTCTGCTCCAAGTTACCTTTTTTCTCCATTCGTTTCATATCCATCAGCTTCTCCACGTTGTTGGGATCGTTCAGCCACAGCTGCATGCGGACAAAGGGTTCTCGTCCCTTCAAACTCAGCTTGTGCCAGGGCTTCGGGCGAGCCAGAAGGTCTGAGACAGAGCCTTGTGTTAGCCCCAGGATTGTCTCCCCAAACAAACGCTGACCTAATACGAAATTGAAAATGGCATGAATTCATTCAGCTAAGAGACGAGGCTAACTAAAAAGACAGAACACATCTACGAGATCATTCATCAATTATTTTTACTTTAGAATTGCTTGAAAACCCCAAAGAAACATTTAAGAGAATAAAAGCTCTCCCCCCCCACTAAAAGTGTAAATATTGAGCTTTAGTTTAATCCTTAGGATCTGACTGTGGCAAAGAGGGGAGCTCAGCACCTTTGGGGACTGGGAAACCGTGTGCGAAAAATAAAATTAATGAGATTAAAAAATCAACTGAACTTTTAGCTAAGCAGGCAGCTAGTGAGAGCAGTGAGGCTACTTAGCTCTTACGCAGGAGGGTAGCGCAACGGCTTCGTTCCAACACGGCAATCCAGACATTTCAAGCAATCAATGAACCAAGACCAACGCAACCCCCCATTCCGTAACGGTCATGTAAGTGTCCTCAAAGACACCTCCATGTTTTCTGTGTTGTACTACCTGTGGTGTTCTAACTGCAGCTTACCAACTAGAGATAATCACATCTCACAACAGCCTTTTTTCCCAGCCTCTATAGTACTTGTAGGTAAGAACACTTCATTTTAGTTCAGCGTTTGCATGTGCCTGAGTAGCACTGGTTTGACATGGCTAAAGATCTGACTTGGCAAGGACTGTGGAAAACACCTGTGCAGCTCCAACCCAATCACAGAGGTCGTTTTCTAAACCCCTTCCCTTCAGTGTTCTTCCTAAGCTAAACTGCCTTGACGTGCAACAGCTTTCGTTACAAGACCGAGCCTGAAGTCATCTGAGCCCTCGCCGGTGATTTCCGACTGAAGTGCTGCTATCACGTGTCTCCAAGGTAACCCCAAGATCTTTCCATACCGACCAAGGTTAGGCCTCAGGGTCTAGGGTCTGATCCGCAGCTTTCGAATGCCCTCACTAACCCAAAGCAGGACGCTTTTCCTTCAGCTCCCAGCGATGCCAGCACTCAGGGGCAACAGACAGAGCCCTGGGGACGATGCAGATGTGGGGGGGATTGTGCTCCTGCACCTCTGCAGCCCACGTCCACGCTTGCGAAAGCACTGTCAGCCACTGCCCTCACAGCCTCATCTGATCCTCTCACAAACAGGTTGTGGACATTATCTACTCCATACATCCCCCCAAAACTTTTTGTCTTTTTGTCTGGCCCTTGGGGGTTTTTGCCTGTATGGGGAGAGGAGGGAGTGTGGGACTGGCGAGAAGCTGCAGAATGTCCCACTCAGACGCACGGGGCGGGTGGGGCGGGCAAATGGGGAAACTTTTTGTCTTTTTGTCTGGCCCTTTTTTTTTGCCTGTATGGGGAGAGGAGGGAGTGTGGGACTGGCGAGAAGCTGCAGAATGTCCCACTCAGACGCACGGGGCGGGTGGGTCTGCAAAGTGTGTGGAGGAAGCAGCCGAGTTACTGAAAGGCGGACGGGGAAGAGAGTAAGGGCTGACGTGACAGTCTTCTAATAAGCTCTAAGACTGATCCTGAAAACAGCTCTTACAGACCGAACAGAAACCTAAATTCAGAATTCACTGACGTTCCAAAGTAACAAGTGATTGTCAACTGCTCTGAACATCAGGAAAAGCAGGTAGAAGTAGTAATTGAGGGTCAATTTGAGATCAAGTGTATTGCAGAGTTAACCTACTCCCTGTTTGTATTTAAAACCATCAGTAAGGCCTTATCCATCTACCTTTAAACCTGCCAGCTACTTGCAAGATAAGACAGCTCCTTTAAAGATCTTTTAATTTGCCTTTGTAAATAACTTCCCTTTAACACCCCCATGGTTTCTAACGCCAGGCTGTAACCTGATGAGCACTTCTTGCTCCGACAGCCGCTGTGCAATGCCAGCGCGGCCGCTGCAACTGCCCACGTGGCTGCACTGTAAATCGGAGCAGCGAACTGATCCGACTCAAACCAACCTACCGAGAAAAAAAATGGCCACTTTTGACTCAGACCATCTGGTCCGGTTTATTGTGTGGCCACACGAACAGGAATACTGGCACAATTTAGCAAAAAGGTCAGAAAGAAGCAGCCCAGAGCAGGTACTAGCAAAGCCGCTGAAGGAAATGAACTTCAAACTATGGCCTAAAAATTACAAATGCAAATGTGGAAGGAGGTAATATGTTCTCTAAGTGTTAAGGACAAAGCTGAAGATGTCTGTTTCACTGATTTTATCCCAGTGTCTGGCAGGACAGGTTAAAGCAACTGAAAGACTCCCAAGCTAACAAGGAACGTGTTAGAAATCATTCTCAGGAGGTAGCAGGTGTATCACACTCCATCTTCATCAGAGTGCTATTAATAACCGGAATATTTTTAAGCACAGGTTTCCTAAAACAACTGCTAATTCTCCCCATCTTTTCCCCTAACATCCCTCACGCCTGTTCCCTCTGATGTAGCTCTTCCTGGACAAAGCCTTCCGTAAAGTACACCGGTTTCCTGGTTAGTCCTGGCCTTTTCTGCAAAATCCTCACCACTGCAATCCTTCAGTAGCTCACCGCATTTGCTTCCCTCTGTGTCTAAGTTACATGTTTCCCAACAGGGAATCAGGGATAATGCTGTGACCTTCGGGACTAGGGATACTAGCAACACCTCAGTGCTAACGCTGCCAGCATCGTTTGCTAAAATGGTGACAGTTGAAGGAAAGCTAAAAGGCATGGGAGGAGAGACCCGCCAAACACAGCTTGAATGGTTTTGCACGACCGTGGTCTTTACTGGCCGATGACACTGGAACAACTGAGCCACCACGTGTTGCCTAAGACGGGTTCACAAGGCCCCGTGGCCTAAGACAGAGAAACCCGTGCACCGAGTCAATCTGGCGCACTAGCACACTGAGGGCGCAAAAGGAGACATTGAAACTGGTTCCACACCTAATGCAGAGTTTGGGGCACATTTCCTGGCTCTTCTGCTGCTTTTTAGGCTTGTCAGCCACACTGTAGGAAAACAAAAATCATGGGAAATAAAAAAGACTAAGTAAAAATGGCATCAAAGCAAATGTAAACAAAAATACTTTTTTCAAACCTCTCTGGAACACCAGAGCAGGTACAGCACTCAATAGCATTTTGCCCAAAAACTAAGGGAAGGGCTTGAACCTACAAACCCTTATCGGGACTTCTGGCTTTATCTCTACGTTATCTCCACTGAACAAGCAACCACAGCCACCCCCACGCCAACGTGCACAAGTGGGGAACTCTGCTGGGTTCAGTGGGACACACTCATACAGCTTATGTCCACGATCAGGGCCATTTTCTTTTTTTACCCCAAATTATGTTAAATGAGAATTGCAACATGCCCCATCCCGGTGTTTTTCCCCTTAAAAAAAAAATTAATCTAAGATAGTAACACGTTATTCTGTGTCTAGCTGAAAAAAGGCTTCCTTACACACTAAAAGAAAGGTGTTTTTGCTTTTGCAGTCATAAAGTTGGGACGATAAGGACGGAATTCTTCTCACAAGTATCACCAGCAGTCTAAATCTAACCTTATCTTTTCGGTCCCATCTGTAGTGAAGGGAGAGAAACTGGTACTTCTGGAGAGTGATCCATCCCAACCATCTTATACATCTGGGTGCAGGTGAGAGGAATCCCATGCTAAGCCCCAGGAGCACGTGCAGGTAACACTGGGGCAGCCCCACTGCCTTCCCGCTAGACACTTCAAAGGACTCCTAAAGGTTTCCCAACGCCTTGTGCGGGAAGCAAGTGTTAAACACAGATGTAGAACTAGTGACTTAGAGGCAGAGTGGCAGTATTGTGTGGATTTCTCCTACTTGGATCAGGTTATTCCCTCTGACTATTCCAAATATATAGCCATGTCAACATTACACTTCACTCGAGACCCAAAAACTCATCTGCAGCCTCAGCTTTGCACATCTCTAAGCAAAATAAGCGAGTGGTCCCATCTACTTATCTACAGATTCACCTAAACCTCAGCCGAGTCTGAATTTACTCTCCCAGCTCTACAGGTACGTTGTGCTTCTGCCTGTGATGCACCTCCCTTTCCAGGCATGCCGGACGCCTCTGTTTCCCCTCTGCCTAAAATGCTGGGGCCTTGAACCTATAAGCTTGGGGAAAATAGCATTTCTCAAGGGAAGATCTCACTGGCTTTGGGATTTTGGTTGTCCCGACAGCCCGCTGGACTGTATTTAGGGAGGTGGGAGGAGTATCTGGCTGGTGAGCCAGGAGGAGAGCTTAAGAAGAGTAAGGGTATGATGACACTTTAAGCAGAGTGTGACAATCTGAAAGGATTTTTCTACTGGTTTAACAGATTTTTTTTTTTTTTTTTAAACAGATTAAAGCTTAGACCAGAATCAAACCCAAGTATTCTTGTAAACATCTACTGAAATATAGCTTAAAAATATTTCACTTTATTTCCAGTCAGGAAATGAGAATAAAGCGATTTACCAAGATTGTTGTCCGTTAGCACTTCTTTGACCCTTTTCGTAATGCCATACGTATCCAGCTCAGGGGACATAGCAACCAGTTCTTGAATGCTGAGTGCCGAGTGGCCCGACAGCGGCAAGGGTGTCGTAGATTGGGATTCAGAAGCAGGTGGCTCGCTAGATTCTTGGGATTTACCATCCTTACTTGTCTCTATAGCGGGACAGGGTTGCTGTACCAATTCAGTCAGGCTTTTCACTGACTCACTGGAACTCATAGGAGATTCAGGAGCAGGACTGCAACTGGCAGAAGTCTTTGGAGTGCTTTCTGTAATTAAAAAAAGAAAAAAAGTCCCCACTTTAGCATAATTGTAATGTTTTGATTGCAGGATATTTAACTTTCCTTCTCATTTATATTCTACATACTTAAAGAAATGCCTAAGTATGCAAAATGCTACTTGTTATGACTTGGTTACTAAAAAGCCTCTTTTAAAAAACAGAATTATTTTCTAATTTTATCTTGAGTCATCTCTGCTTTCTTATAATGACAAGATGTACAAATACAAATACAAATCAGGAAAAAATGAAGTGCGATAGTCCGTAAGGTTGCAAGAAATCTCCTTGCTCAGGAAATCTCAGTTTTGCTTTCCACAACATTTCCATATAAAGATGCTCTTAAATCTACCATTTTAGACTGGTTTAAGACTCCTTCTTTGACTTGTAAGAAACTCACTTAGCTACTATTTTGTAGTGCCAATGAGGGATTTTCTATAACTGATACAACTTTCTATCTCGAGTGTTACTGACTTCATACTGTTTCTTATCACTCGCATCACATTTTTGCACTTTTCTTTGCCAGAAATAACAAGATTAAAATACAATTTGTATTAATTAACGTGTTTAGAATCCAACATAAAGATAGCTGGTGAATCAGGAGACATCCAAATCTGTTATTGTGACACTTTGTTTAAAAGCAGGCATTCTGAATCTGTTAGTTTGCCAACAACAATAGGTTCTGTACAAAATGTTGTTTTCCCCTAATAAATTCACGTTTATCTCTAACGGAATGTACCAACTGAGCTCAGACAGAAAATCCAGATATCTAAGGGTACAGTCTAAACATTTTTTAAAGCAACAACATGTACACAATGTGGTTTGGAAGCACAATGCTCTTCAGGAGACAAAGCGCACACTCAATTTCTCCATTCAGAGTTGTGCCCCATTTTTGTGGGACTGCTTCCTCCGCCTCCTCGCTGTCCCACATCTCGTTACTCGACACGGCTAATCGCACCTCTCTCCGAGTCACCCACCAGTGGATTCGTCTCGCCATCTCTGGAGGAAGCTTACAGCGCTCTCGGCTGTACAAGGGTGAGGCCAGCCTACACCAAAACCCCAGTCCCTCGAACCGAACGACCTTTTCCTCAGCACGGCAACGCCACGACGAGAGCGCTTCGCTCCGCAGGGTCAGCTCCTGTCCCTGCCATGCCGATGGCTGACAGCGTTCCGAGTCCGTCTGTCACCCAGAAGACTGTCCAACCGTTCTGGAACACGCAGCTCGGGTAGCACGGAAACATACCCTAAATACTACGGGAAGAGGCTGCAGCAGTAAAAGCAGGGTTCGAAGGATGCAGGGTGCACAACTTCCCGGTAACAAGCTTTTGGAGAGGCTCCCTGACACACTCCCAGAAAGTTGCTCTCAAACCTAGCAACTGGACTGTTCCCTTAGTGTTCTAAGATGCAGAAGAGGCAGAGACAAAGGAAAGCAAGGTGGATATAAATCTTTAAGGCAAGAGGGGTCCTACAAATCTTATTTCTTCTCTCTGTTCACCCTAGGTCATCTTACAACTGAATATAAACCCCAGCAAATGTTATTTTTGTATCAGGAGCAGCAAAGGAATTGTACTGTAAATTTGCCCTGGTTCACCCATGCGAGGGACCAATTTGGCAGATCATCCATCTTGTTCACTGTACACTGTCAGGGATGGCATGAATTCCCTACATGATAAACAGATTTCTTCTCAGGTCTGTGTCCTTTAACCCACAGCAAGGTCAAAATTACGGCTGCCTAGCTAATAAACTGCACGGCACTCGTTCAAGTTCCCTCTAATTTTGTCCCTTGTGCCAGCTTATACAAATCTTACTGAATAACTAGAGCAGCTGCAAATTTCCTATACAATTCCTCATCCGTGCACTGCAGACCACATGCGCACACGGAGCGCAGGAAAAATCCAAAATGAGAAAGAAAACCACCCAGGACTAAACAAAAGCATTTGCTGATGCTTCTCCCTCCCTCTCCTTTCCCTGCCCAGCCTAATTATGTAAACAACAAAGGTAATCTAGATTATCATCTATCACTGAAATGCTCTACGTTGCTCACATATTAGCTTATTTATTTTTTATATCACATATCAAGACCTTACTCGAATTTCATTTTTAAGACCAATCTGCTGCGTATTTACTCAAAAAGGTAGGATCATCTGAATCTAATTCTGGAAGGCAGTACAGATGACAAACTGCCTTTTTTTCTCCCCCAATGAAAGGCAAGTGTACCGTGATTTCAGACAAGGCATTATGCACATACACTACAAATAACTCAAAATATGTTCCCCCTTCATTTTTAGCGTTTTTCCTGTATGGAAAACCATTTTCAAGATCACATAAATATTGGAGGGAAAGATGTATTATTTGGAAAAGTCAATTCAATAATCAAATAACGCAAACATTTCCTGTTAATCTACTTAAAAAATTAAATAGACATTTAGAGTACAAGTGACTGCTGACAGAACAAAGGGGGAAATTGAATGTATTCACTATTACAGATTTAACTGTCAATCCACAGCCATTTCGCGTGTTTTATGAAATAATTTGTCTGTATTCATTTCTCTCAAGTTCCTCCCAGGACAAAGAAATAAATTCAGGACATCTGAAAAATACATATTAAGATTTCAAAAGCAGCAATTGAACATTTCCAATGAAAACAATACATTGAAAGCTTATTTCTTTAAAATGTGTTCTGCTTTTTTAACCCCAGACTTCACTGAAGAACAGCACTAACATAAGAACGATCCAATTTCTTAGGAGTGCCTAAGTGATGTTCACCGCATGTTTACATCTGTTTTTAGGAGGAAGAGATAATTTTGTCAATATGGGTGTAAAATAGCCACCATTTAAGATGAAGTTACTTCAATAAATTACAGATAAGCTTTGCTATACCAAAGTGGTGTTGCATTTTGCTTTCCACAGCCTGCATCCTGGTTAAAACCTGAAGCAAAAGCCCAAAAGCTTCAAAAATAAGGTGCTAGAAGGAGAGATGAAGAGCAGCACCAGGGATGAAGTCAGTGCAGAGCCTGGGAGTTATTTAAGTCTCATGCAGCCAGAGAAGCGAGCACATGCCCTGTGCTTTTTAGAGGATGGGAAAAAGATCTCCAGTGGGATCTCCCCACTTTAGCTCGGTGGAATGATGGTGTCCATCAGGTCCTGAGCATGTGGTGAAGGCTTAACATGTTTAACATGACAATTTAAAGTGATGAGGAAACTGTTGTCAAACATCATTAAAGGCTCAAGTAGACCATGAATGCATATAAATAAAACGAGTGATCCAAATCTCTTAAAGCTGCAGGTATAACTGAGTCGTGAAGGCAAAGGCTCCACCATGCAATTTTATATTACTCATTCAGAAGGCACATGTTTGGGTACAGGGAAGTTAGGCACTTCCAGCCCATTTTTAAAAGCACACTCAAATATGCAGTATAGAAAATAATAATCAAATGCAAATCAAGTACTAGAAAGTGATGTCTGCATAAAGGGGCCAGCAATCTGAAATATTTGGCAAGTGCAATTGGCCTCTGTTCGTAGCTAAAACATGACAACTGGAGCACCAACACTGGCTATTGCACGGCAGATGACAAGAGCAGAGAGCTGTGACCGTACAGCCAAGGTGAGCATTCAAGTCTTTGAAGGCGAATATATCTTCATAAAGAGAAATGCATCTGAGGCAGCGGGCGAACGCCAAAGAGCTGTACTTGGGAACACACCTCTCCTGGCAGAAGACATGGTCGTTATTCTTAAGTTAGAAAATGCTTCAGTTTTGCTTTTCCCTACTACAATACTAGAGAGGGATGCATAATCTAAAATGAAGATACAAAAATGTATGAAAACAAAGTCAACACTACACAAATACTTCCTGTTTTCTTTTTAAATGTTATTTTCCCAATATAAAATTGCTGCCTGAACGACCACCTGTTGTGGTTTAACCCCAGCCAGCAACCAAGCACCACACAGTCACCCGCTCACCTCCCTCCTCCCCAGCGGGATTGGGAGGAGAATCGGAGGAAAAGACAAGGAAACTCGAGAGTTAAGAACAATTTAATAATTGAAAGTAAATGAAATAAAAGAATGGTATCAATAATACTATTAATACTAATAATACTAACATTATTACTAATTACATGTAATCAAATAGCAGAAAAGAAAACAAATGATACAACCGCTCACCACCCGCCAACCAGCCGGTCCCCAGGAGCCAGAGCTGGAGCTGGAGAGAGCCTGAGACCCAAAAGCCCAAGAGACAGAGCCTCTCCCCTGCTGCAACCCCCAGCTTATGTACTGAGCATGAGGCTTTAGGGTGTGAAATACCCCTCTGGTCAGTGTGGGTCAGCTGTCTGGGCTGTGTCCACACCCCTGACAGAGAACACAGGTACAGTATCCTAAACTGACAGAAGTCCTTGAGTTGACATAAACATTCCTTAGCAACAACTAAAAACATGAGTGTGTTATCAATATTCTTCTCTGCACAGTCAAAACATCGCTCATACTGGCTGCTGTGAGGAAAACTAACTCTATCCCAATAAAAACCAGCACGGCATCTTACTGCAACAAACCCCCAGACTGTGGTCACAGCTTGTCTGTTCCCCTCTCCATCCCTTAGCAGTTATCTGCTAAGAAACTAACGAAACTCCAAAGAATTTAGCATATAGCACTAGGATCTGTCTAAGCATTTTATAAACCAGGTTGAGGACTGTAACAAATTGACCTTGTCTTAATGATACGAACACAGCAAGTCTCCTGTGGTCCTGCATTCCTTAGCCCAATGGATGAAGCCAAGTCGTACTTTGGTCCCATCCACCCTCTACACCTTCCCCAAAGCTTCTGTCCTAAGAGTATTTTGGGAAATGTGAGAAAGTCTGAAAACAGAGTTCCAGTCTCAATTCATTGGTTAGGGTGGTCTTCCTCAACTTAGCATCACATTTTCTTACTTTTCTCCAACTCCAAAATTTCCCACTCCCAGGCTGGGATCCAGTCCCCAGTACTGGCTCCTGGGTCCTCTGC